TTTATCACGGGGAGTGTTCTGAGGAATTGTTCGGATTGACCTAATGCTGCTGATTTTCACTCACCGTACAACCCGCCAGTGACTAAAGATTCATCCCAATCATCTGGACGAGAAAATATCTTCCATCACAAATAGCGTTTTTCAAGAAGCACTTTGTTAATAAGAACAACCATTCTTTGGAATCAACTTCCAGCAGCAGATTTCCGAACCGATACGACAACATAACCTTCAAGAAAAGACCGGGGAATATATTCCTTTAAAGGAAACCGGCAGCATGTGCAATAGCTGGTGTTGTGGGTGATCATGGGCGGCGGTAGTCATACCATCAGGTGAGCCGCATGAAGATGCCCCCATATATATATATATATATATATATACCGGGTGCTTCAAAAAAATGTAATATTAAAAAATAAATATATATATATATATATATATATATATATATATATATATATATATATATATATATATATATATATATATATATATATATATTAATATACTTTTACTACATTCAGTGTGTGTTGTACGCAACTCTGCTTCTATAAGTGAATTTTTTTTTGTTTCTCTAAATATAATTGATTTTTAACCGACTTCAAAAAGAAGGTTCATAATTCGATTCTATTTTCTATTTGTTTCCTCATAGCTCTGTCGCTTGTGAACTGATTTCGATTTTTTTTTATCTGAAAGATACAAATTTGTTCCGTAGAAATTTGATCAAAATCGGTTCAGTAGTTTAATTTTTAAATATAAAATAACTTGTTTTGCTACAACTGAAGTCGGTTGTTTTTTTTTATGAAACATAATCTAAATTATTCTTTATGCCATTTAAAATTAAAAAAAAAAAACTAGAGATTTGTAAAACAGTCTAATGTTTTTGCAAACAGATTAACTATAAAATTAGATTAGATATATAAATATAATACACATATCATATCAGTGTATTATATTTATTTCCTTCAATGGTAGATGTATTAAGTATAAGGGTTTTATTTTTATTTTATTTTATTTCTTATTGCATTCCATAATATACTTAGTTTATAACATATCAATAATGGACCGTGTTGGGCACAGCAGCAGTAGTACGAGAGAGGAGGACAACCCTTTTTCACTTTAGAAATAGTCTAACGATCTGTTACAATATTGTCCAGTCATTGAAATTGTATCACGATATGTACGTTTATTATTATTATTGATAATGATGATGATTGCAACTGAAACTAATATAACTTTGTAATGTTGTTTATTTTTCTACTATTTAAAGATTTCTATCGATATTTAAGCCAAGGGTTTTAGTTTTAATCCCACCAGAGTCCGAGTAGTTAAGCGATTTTTTAATGTTTCACGTAACATTGTACTGACACGTAAGGGTAAAGATTAGCCGCAGCTGCACAAGTGTATCACGTTGCACGTATGTAGGTACGCATTCTACATTGTAATGTCAGGACTTATTAATTTTAATTTGACTAAATGAACGAAGGGTACAGAGATACACATAATAAAATCGATTACCATAAATCAAATCATTTATTGCACGAATATGGGTGCATACCATACATTAGATGAAAATAATAATTACATGTCCATTATTCCACATTCTAGCATATCGGCATGTACAATATAACATTATAGTAATAATAACTTATATAACAATATAAACAATGTCAATAATAATAATAAACAACAACCACAAACAGTGGAGAATAATACAGCAAAAATATTATGGGGAATGCCGGTACAGACAGATATAACAGTCAATCACAATCGACCCGATCTTATCTATATAGATAAAATACATAATAGAACATACCTATTAGACATCAGTGTTCCGTTCAGATTATAATATTGGAGCTAAGGAAATGGAAAAACTTAATAAATATCATAAATTAAACACCGAAATTATTAGATTATGGAAAACACAAGCGACAGTATTGCCAATAATAGTGGGAGCGACAGGTGTAATAGCGAATAGCTTAAGCAGGTATTGTGAACAACTACACGCGAACATCAATATAGATATATTACAAAAACAAGCAGCCATGCATTCCTCGACCATAATATGTAAAGTACTAGGAAATACAATAATCACACTAAACTCACAAGATGCGCCACATCACACCACTACAGACACGCACACACACGTATAGAGCTATGAAGCATAAAAATAATATATATGCATATTTGCATACACACAAGCAATAAAAGGGGTTGGGATCTCAGCTTTCTTTTTTCCAAAGGTTTTTGGGACGGGTTGTCTGAGAAAACCGGCAAATTAGCCGAGAATGAAGTATATAATAAAATGTAAAAAATGTCAATAAAAATAAATAAATTGTATGTCTAATGTTTATCAATGTTAAATAAGGTAAGTTTAAAGGTTTAAATTAAAAGAAATATCATCGCATCTTATTGACAACGAAGGTTGTTGAGAATCTAACGATTGCCACCTAATACAAACACATTTCAATCAAACACCAGAGGCAGACTTTGTACAAAAGACGTTTCCTTGGGCACCTCTGTCTCATTCGTGTTTCTACCGTGAAGCAGTTGTGTTTGCATGGCTGTGTTTCGGTTTGAAGGGTAGAACATGACGTAAATTTACAGGATACAGAGGAATAACACCTGAGTCCTCAGGAATGGCAACGCATGGGGGGTATCATGGGCGAAACAGTATACTCTGTTATGTCTATGGTACTGCTCATGTCTATAGGCGACGGTTACCACTTTCCATCAGGTGGGCCGTCAGCTTGTTTGCCATTCTAAGTTGAAAAAAAAAAAACAAATATTAGAGGAATATGATAAGGAAAAGGACGCGTTGGACTGGTTTAGGTCCACCGTAATGCTGCTATCACCGTGCTATATAATAAATTAAACAACTGACGGTTTAAAAGAATAATGATTATCATCGACACGACGATAAAAATAACAGCAACAGGACTTGAATAAAAGTAAAACATCACCTTTAAATACAACCCCTTGCCTTTCCATGGGTGTCGTAAGAGGCGACTAATGGAGGGCGAGGAATGGGCAGCAGTGTCCCTCTTAAAACATTTTCATAGTCTAACTGCGGTTGCCATTCCGCCTGCCAAATGTGGCAAATACTGGGAAAACCCCCAAGGGGAAGGCTTATGTTCAGCAGTGGACAGTTAAAGGCTGATTTAATCACGATTTGATAATCACCATTAAATAAACACAAAAGAGAATTCAATTTGAAACGACAAATTGTTATAATACTCGTATGTTGGTTCGAGTAAGTTTGTTATAATAATGATTTACAAAGCGTCGCCACTTCTCAGGAGTCACCGTCACCGTCACCGTCATCGTCACCGTCACCGGCACCGCGCATCGAATTAGTCACGGTTGTGCCACCACTTGATTGGGCTATTACACGAGCATGACCACAAAAACACAACGCACTTTGCACATGCAATTTGTGACCACGTGGTGTCGTTGACGTGGAGCAATAATGCGGTAGTGGCTCAACCAGGTCTCGATAATGATGTAGAATCGCAATTCAAGTACCTACATATTCATGCAAATGGATATTTACAAATACAAGTCAAGAACCTAATAGATGTAATTAAACAAAAGCTGTAAAAGGTTTAAAGTATCGCATTATGTTAGTGACGTCCTCTACTAGAAGTTACAAGAAATAATCAAATTATTTCCAAATTCATAAAAGTTATCTCTCTATAACCATGTATCAAGCAGAAGGCATCAACATGTGTACAATAAATATTACGGGGGTGGGGGGGGGGGGGGGGAAGGGATTTTAAGTAACGGAGATTGAGAATCCCATTGCTAACAATATACCCAACCAGGTCGACCTTCTCGCGGTTCTCCCTGGAAACTATCATGATTAATTCCTGATGAATTCATCATGATGGGCTAACTGGCCTGTTTTCATTCTCATCGATCACCCTTTCACTGGTGCCCCGCCGGCGTATCCCGTTAGCGCAGGCGGGGCTACCATACCATTTTCACTCATCAAAAAAACAAAAAAGTACTAGGTACGAGAGATCCTTAAACAAAATGAATAGTTATTAGAAATTGACTTAAAATTGTAGATTACGGAAATATTTAAAGCATATTATTATATCCCCTTATTTATACAAATTAAAACATTCTACAAATTCGCCTTAACTACGACACTGTTTTATCACTTTCTTTCACATTGAGAATTTATTGTAAAAGAAGGGGACGACAATAACTAAAATACGTTTATGAGAGATTTGACGCTTTTATGAATAAAGGGGCATGCTAATAATTTGCAATCGCACGAATGTGCATATACCATGGAGAAACAAAACGTGCGGTGTTCTGTTTCTATGAAGTTGATAAGTTTGATACTAAATCAGAGATAGAAGGTAGATAAACAGTAAATATTTATATTTGGTAAAGGGTGGTAAAGAAGTAAGGAAGGCCATAAACACCACAATGTAGGTATACATACGTATTCTGGTGGCATTACTCGATATTGTTAATTAATTTAAAGATAAATTTACACATCTCCATCAGGTGAAGCATCTGCTGTCCTCGTTTGTTAAAAATATAAAACTAAAAACAAACAAGGAGGCAGTTTAACGGTGGTAATGTCCTTTTTCAGATTACAGAGCAATTCTGTAATCTGAGTGTCTCGCCTTCGTACCTTTCGCTTTTGTTTTTTTTTAAGCAGCCGTACATTCATAACAAATTCACTTTAAACAATGCTTTTGTTAGCTTTCCGTTAGTGATTATCAGATAAAAGCGTGGACGTAATAATTATCTAACGGTATTGACTTTCGCCTCCACATCACTTCGCACCTACCTGCGGAGACCGGAGACAATGAAGAGGACGGACGGCCGCAACGGCGACCCTCGGCTCTGCATGCGGATGCGCCAACGCAGACCGCGGGAGGCAGCGGCGCGGAGCGGGGAGCGGGGCGGGGCGGGGCGGGGCGGGGGGAGCGGTCAAGGCCGCAGGCGCCGCGGCGGGCGGCGCGGGCGCGGCCCCGCCACCGGCACCACCGCCAGTTTGTCCCGCGATCTCGTGTAGAGAGGTTGTCAGTAGTCTGTTACAGTGGTGTCAGTGTGTGGTGTACAGTTAGCCGGCGTCGTAGCAGGTCGTCGACCGCGCGAGTATGAGCGCGCGCCCGCCTCGGTAGCCGCCGCACTCCCGACCTCTCCTGTAGCTTCTACCGACAAGGTGAGCACTGCACCGTGCACCCTCGAGCCCTGCACCGCGCGGACAGCGACACATTCCCTTCTCATCTGCGAGCGACGGCTAGCTAACGGTCTCAGAGGGAAAGCTACTGTTGAAACCAAACGTCTATAGCTCGATATCCATTTCGTTTATTCTTTATAGAGATTGATTAATTTCACCTATTATATTTACTAGTAGCTATATAAACTACTTGTAATCCAATCTGTGATTACATCAATCAGTTAACTTTTTTACTTATAAAGGGTATAGTGTTAATGGATGCAAATGAAATGGTAATACTGGCGGGGCATCAGTGAGGGATGACAGGTGACCATGGAAACAGGTCAGTTAACCGATCGTGATAAATGCAAGAATTAACCACGACGGTTTCCAGGAGGAACCGCGTGAGGATCGACCTGATAGGGTATATTGCTAGCAATGGAAAAATTAGGCCTGATTACTAACAGTCGCTTTATCTCGTTTTGGAGAGGGTAGGTAATAGCCAAGTCATGTGAATCGCCACAGCGCTAGCTAAATCTATCAATTATATTTTTTAAGACTATAATATTCTGGGAAATGTATCTAATTCAAAATAAGCGATCTGGTCAGTGCGTATACCGCGTCACGTAGCTGACAGCTTTCTAATAGGCAGCTATACTTATTTAGATTACCGATTACATGCAGACCGCTCTTATATGTATAAAATGAATATAAATAATCTTAAATAGTTGGCGGGTGACGGTCGTCAACGGAATGTTACTTAATGCACACCAAGTCGCTGATTAGAGAACGGAACGCCCGTTTCATCTGCACCATCTTTAGTTGTTTTTAATTTTGTTTTTTAATTTTTATATACAACTTAGAATGGCAAACAAGCTGACGGCCCACCTGATGGAAAGTGGTGACCGTCGCCTATAGACATGAGCAGTACCATGGACATAACAGAGTGTACTGTTTCGCCCATGATACCCCCCATGCGTTGTCATTCCTTGTCAATGCAAGCTATTGTAAAGAACTTTTAACTATACTAAATTAATTTCTAGCTGTTGTTTCATGAGTGTAATATAAAATTATCATTGGCGAAAGGTTGATATTAATTTTTTTTTTTTGATGAGTGAAAATGGTATGGTAACCCCGCCTGCGCTAACGGGATACGCTGGCGGAGCACCAGTGAAGGATGATAGATGAAAACAGTTAGCCCATCATGATGAATTCATGATAGTTTCATTCAACCATGATAGTTTCCAGGGGGAACCGCGAGGAGGTCGACCTGGTTGGGTATATTGCTAGCAATGGAATTCTCAGTCTCCATTACTAACAATCCCTTTCCCCCCTGATATTGCTATTAGATTCAAGAGTAGGCCTGCTGGTCAATGTAATATGTAGGTAATACACTAAGTCAATCAATTTGAAATAGATATCGTTTGTAAAAAGAAATGTATTTAAATTATCAAGGTATCAACGTCCGCCTCAAACCTTAAATGTGGATGAATGCAACGTTTTTTTCTTCCAACGACATCTGAAGACGTCAAGTAGTAATATTGAGCTAAGAAGCTTTTTGTACTATTTATCAATTTGATTTCAATATTTAATTTCATTGTAATAATAATACATTGTCCATGATTTGTTTGCCGTCTGTTGTCAAACAGCTCTGAACCCAAGGGGTCACGACCTACACTTTGAAAACCACTGGCCCTAACAATCTGCAGATCGATCAAAACAATTGTAACCGTGTTACGATGAGTTTCAACATACAGTGTTGGGATGAGTAAGGATTACTAGTAACGGTCAGGTTGAAACCTTGGAAAACACCCCAGTTGTTTCCTGGTGGATTCATCACACCACCAGAGGGAGACTTTGTACAAAAGTCGATTGCTTGGGTACCTTTGTCCCTTTCGTGTTTGCATGGCTGTTTGAAGGGTGGGATATGGCGTGAATTTACTGGGTACAGAGAAATAACACCTGAGTCCTCAGGAATGGTAACCAATGGAGGGTATCATAGGCGAAACAGTATACTCTGTTATGTCCATGGTACTGCTCATGTCTATAGGCAACGGTTACCACTTTCCATCAGGTGAGCCGTCAGCTTGTTTGCCATTCTAAGTTGTATATAAAAAAAAAAAACCACGTCCCCATAGGTCAACTGGCCACCTTTCATCATCGCACCGCTCGCCATCGGCAGTAAATCCATCCTCACACACTAGAACCAAAATGGTCACGCACAGTGCGGCTTCAGAGAAGCTTCCTCCCGCGGACACTCACGTTGTAGAATGAGTTAGGACTTCTGTCGAGCTTTCCTTAGAGATTACAACTACAACATGGAGCTCTTTAAAATGGGTATATTAAAGTTTCTTAACATTCGGCAAAGCTCACGCGACATCCCTGGTGTTACAGATGTCCATAGACTACAGTGACCCCGATTACCATCAGACGGGCCGTATACTTGTTTGCCATCATAGTAATATAAAAAAAAATATTAATCATATCTATTATTTTTACCGGGTATCCCGGCAGCGTACATTTATGTCTCAAACACGGTTACCGTTCCACCGTTATCCACAAAACATACAGTGTTAGAACCACACACGAGATCTAAATACCGATATAAATCACTATTAAACCCTTCTCTGCATACTAGTGGAAATTTCCATCATAACATTGAATGCCCAAAAATTATATAAAAGAACAAGTTCACTTTAAGTTGATCGTGTCCGGATACCTTTTTAATGTCCATTGTAGAAAAAAAACATAGCTGTCAAATTTATTTTTTTTACATTTTTCCTTTAATTTTGAACATGAATTATGATATAATTGATTTACTTATTAATTTATTTCACCAATAAAAAAAATCATACAAAGAAGGGTTAACATTAGGTGCCTAGCTATTACCAACTGCTGGGGGAAAGGGATTTTTAATAATTATTTAATTATTATTAATTTATTATTAATTTTAATGGTTAGTTCCTGATGAATTCATCATGATGAGCTAACTGGCCTGTTTTCATTCTCATCTATCACACTTCACTGGTGCTCCGCCAGCGTATCCCGTTAGCGCGGGCGGGGATACCATTCCATTATCACCCATAAAAAAACTACCAACTGCCAGAGAAGGAACCGCATACGGAGGTGATAACGCTTATGTTGTTTTATATTGTAAACAGTCAGTCTCCTCCTCCTCCTCCGATCCTCCCACCAGCGTGCCCCGCCAGCGTATACCGTTAGCGCAGGCTAGGTTACCATTCCATTGTCATCCATTAAAAAAAAAATTAGGCAGTACGGAGCTATGTCATTTATAATCTACCTATCTGATATGCAATTATGAATGAAGAGTTCTTTACAGTTACCCGAAAATGTATGATAATGTTCGATATAATTACTTAATATGAAGCGACTAATTCACAACTCACTGGTCTACCTAATTAAGTTTTCATCATAGATTATTCATCTTAATTTAACTGTTCATAACCTAATTTTATTTGGAACTCGCGTAATATGTTTTTATTCATATTGTACGAAGATTTGGCTTTTGGTTTGCTCGTCGCCTGCCTCACGTCACCCACCTTGCAAATTATTATTATTCATTATTTTAAGTACTATAGTAATACAATAAGTAAATATATACAATTCATTAGGCACCCATGTACCATCGTGCAACTATATTTGGTACCAACACGACGAGTGAGTAAGCGGAATCAATAGCAGTTTGCTCGCCAAATCCTCGCCAGCACATACCATACATAGTGTTGCTCGACATTATCTTGACTGGGCACGTAAGAATTTTGTCTGGACAAGATAAGAATTTTATCTTACATAGGTGTACTGCACGCAGTGTGATTTACAATAGTTAATTTTACTTTTTAAAAACAACAAAAGCCGAATTTCTTGCCGTTATTCTCAGCTGAAACCATTTTTTTCCTAATTATAAAGAAAGGTAGACTGTTATAAAATGATTGGAAATTAAATTTTAACAAGATTGAATTTTTTTTTACAATATCTGTCTCGACATACGGGATATTTTTTTATCGCTGTAACAAACAAGAATACGACCCTGATGATAAGCGGTTGCCGTAGCCTATGAACGTCTACAATACCAGAGGCATTACGCGCGCGTTGAAGTAACCCCTTAACCTGTTTTTTTTTTAAGAACCACATGCTGTAGTTTCTTGGAAAACCTCGGCAGGTGACAAAAATATCATAAGAATTATACTTATGTAGTGGTATTTCAGAAACATTGTTACCACTAACAGTCGGCCTGCTCCGAATACCTACTTGTACCTTTCATATTTCTCTTCCTATATACGTTCGTTTCGACGTTGCCAGATTGTTTCATCTTATCAAAAATAAATATTTTCTTGCTGTGTTATCTAGATATCTACAATTCATTAAACGGTTTTATTTAGCTCGACCTGTACGGTATTTATTTATTTGGGTCAAAATTAGAAATTGGAATTTAAGCACCTTCCCGTTGTCAGATTGATCTGAAATTTGGTACACACATTTAATTTAGATGACAATACAATATAATAAAATCAATAACATTATAAATCTAAGGTGGCCGCCGATACAAAATGGCGGATTACATATTTTTCCTTAAACCCCGCAATATGGGTATCAAATGAAAGGGCTACACTAGTAAAACACGATGATTATGTCAAAATTTAAAATTCAAGATGGAAGCCGTTCCAATATGGCGGACTAGGTACATATTTTTCCACAACCACCACAATATGGGTATCAAATAATAGGACTACACTGAGACACCCAGACACTAGACACTCGGACACTAGACACTCAGACGCTAGACCCTCAGACACTAGACACTCAGACCCTAGACACACAGACACTAGACACTCGGATACAAGACACTCAGACACTAGACACTCGGACACTAGACACTCAGACACTAGACACTCGACACTCGACACTCAGACACTAAACACCAGACACAAGACACTCAGACACTCGACAGTCAGACACTAGACACTAGACACTCGTCACTAGAC